GGTCTCTCCGGACAGCAGACCGACGCTCTAACCGCTAAGCCAAACCGGCCAGGGCGGTTTGGCTGATCTTTATGCCTCTGTCAGAATGCTTATCTTTTTAAAATGTTGACTGAGCACAGTTCTTATTATGAGTCAGCTGGTAAAATTGAAACTTAGTTTTCAAGTGTCCAGGCCATTTTATTTATTGGTCACTAAAAATCTATAATCAGGTTACAGCGCATTAGGTAAAGCCATCAAATACTTGGAACTATAAGCAGGATAATCTGTGAACTTCCTCATTGTTCATTACTGCTGATTTGGTCTATAATAGTCTGTGATTTGAAGCAAAATGCACCTCCAAAGTAGCTTATGAGATTAAAAAAAATGTTATTCATACACACACACACACACACACACTTATAAAGAATATATATTCTTTATTGTATATATAAATTTGTGATGCTTTTCTAAAACAGTTATTTTGGATTACTAGCTGTAGTTACATGCTTTTCTAATTATATTTTTCTCATTCAAAATATCAACATATGTAGTTTATTTACATATATTTTTGAAGATACTAGGAGCTCAAAGTCATTGTTAGCAATAAATCTACTTACAAAAAATTAATTTTATAAAATGAAATTAGTTCACTGATTTTCTTTTTTACTCTAGATTATTTGACAATCAGCAGTGAAGTGGGTAAAACTTATTTATTAACAGGGGAAATAAAATATATTAACCTCCAAAGGAAAACTGAAGCTGCAATTTCTGTTTCATCTAAAGTTATATTAGTTGTGTTTGATTAGCCCTAAATTTCACTTGGCTTTTAATTTAAAGCCTTTTCATGAGATATTTAAAACTGACCAAATTCTTTAAATGTTGAAAAGGAAGTAAGTCCAGACTTGGGGTGGTGAACACACAATACAACATACAGATGTATTGTAGAATTGTATACCTTAAACGTATATAATTTTATTAACCAGTGTAACCCCAATAAATTCAATTTCTTAAAAAAAGGAAAGGAAGTAAGTCCTGAACTTTACTGGAAATCTCATTTTCAGTTATTTTTCTTTTAGCACTTGATGGAAATGTATTTTGAATATAATTCAACTATCTTGGAAACAAATTGACCTTTTCAATCAATTCCCAGATACCCAACTTTTGCCAGCTAAAACAAGTTCTGCAGATGTTAATGGCTCATGTCAATACTGTGAATGAATAGACAGAAAACACATCACTGAATGTCTCTAGTGAGGACAACGGCCAGTCTCGAAGCTCTCCTTTCCGTTTTTTGTGCTGGCCAGGCGTGGGAGCAGAGGACTCATTGACTGTGTGTAAGCTGCTGTTTAATATGCAGAAATGCCCCATCGGGGTAATGTCTGTGCGGCTTTAACTGCCACGCCTCTGCTGGGACTGGGAACTTAGAAAAGAATACCAGGAGAGGCAGGTCTGAAGTTTCTCTGCTAACAAAGGAGTAGTCTGGAACACTATGGGTTTTGTAGATTAACTACAAAAACTGCTTTTCCCCTTGCTGTAGAGCTGGGAATGCCACTCTCTAGCTACTCCATTGCCATAAATTACAGCAAAACAAATACACACACAAAAAATACAGCATTTACTGATGGTGGCTGCCCAGCAGCAGCTCTAGGTGTTCATTGAAATCACTGACTCTTTCCAAAGAGATTTTTGTAAAATTTCTTTTGAGACAGCTGACTCCTTCCTACCAAAATGTAAGACCTTTTCTTTCCAATGATTGGTTGCATCCAGATTTTCTGGTAAGATTCCCAAAACAACATAATATTTCTAATTTCCAGAAGCTTTGATTAAAGTAAACGAGGTGATATTTTCCAGCACAATGTGCTGGGATGTGGCTTTCCTGTGAATTTAAATAATTTAGAAACCTACCCAGAGAAACCGATGTTTTCTTTCCCCATCTGTGGTTTACGGTTGAGTCAGAGGAGGGAATTTTATGTATTTATAGTAATGTAAGTGTTGTTTTATTTAGGATGGATATGTTTCTAATATCTTTTAACTACAAATCTCAGTCTAACCTGAAATCAGCCTTCTAGTAGACTTCTTCTCTTTCCATGTGTGAAGATACAGGGGAGTACATTGGGAGGTTATGCTCTTATCTCGTCATTTCTCCTTTTTTAAAGAAAGGAATTGGAATACTAACTTTTTAAAATACAAGAAGAGAATTTCATATTTCAGGAGGAAAAATAAAAAGGTAAAAATGCATTTATAGCTATCCATTTAAAATTTTCTGCATTTCTGTCATAAAGCCATAAATTTGTGCATTTTAAAATAAACTTTGAATGCAGACATGCTGGTTTATTTGTAAATTATTTGGAATTTGAAACTTTGTAAATATTCATAGATTAAGGGAGGTTCTTAAATTCCAACCACATAGTAGACTATTTGAATCCACACCTCATGTTATGTTCAAAGAAGCTAGAAGAGTGTTCACATTTACAAGCGTTTACTCACACAAAATAAATTAACATACTTGTCGTATTATTCAGTAATGATGATTGCAGGTGTGTTGAGATCTATCACCTTTGAGCTGATTCATATCCATTGGACAGATTTGGTATGCATGTAGCTTCAGCTTTCTTCAGACCAATAGAGATTAGACTGCATCTTCATAGACTAGCGGGGCCATACTTGAAAGTTTGGGTTTAAAATGTCCTTCCGTTTTCATCATACGCTAGGAAATCCGAAAGAGCTTCTTTGTATGTAATACCACGATAGATCACAGTCACCTTCAGAGAGAACATTACCATCACCCAGAGCGTCACAAATATGTATTTACATAATCCACATCTCACAAAGGCCAAATGTGAAAACACAATAGCAAGCCTTGAAGCCTGTCTTGTCAATTCATGGATACTTAGTACTTTAAAAAACAAATAAATAAAAATAAAGTCAGCACCACTTTCAAGAATAAACTTCAGTTCACGTGAAGATGCTAAGTTCTTTTAAAGTTTGCGTCCACAAAGAAATGCTGAGGCTCCTTGTTTCGGACAAGTGTTCCCATTTTTCTGTAAATATATGTGGCAAAGCAAGCAACAGCTTCAGATTTGACTTCAATGTCTATGCTTTTGTTATTGTTATTAATGTGTGTTACAACGCTAATACAATTTGGACTTATTTTTCATATGCTGTTGCTACTTTGTTTTCTCTTTCATTTCCTGAAGTAAACATTTGTTTTTATCTATGCTCAATTGTCCCTTTCCACTGTAAAAAGGAAAAAGATCAGTGTGGGTACAGAAACTGTTCATAGGGGGCCAGCCTTGGTACATATTGATAAATGGGGAATTTGTAGCAGTTCATGCTTCTATAATGAGATTAAATGAAACGTGAAGTGTAGCCAAGTCCCTGCAACTCCAATTCAAAAATTGACTTGCGGGGCATGTCAAGTCTGCTTCCCTCTAACAGGTGTTTTGTTGTTGTTATGTTTTGGTTTTGTGTTTGTGTAATCTCATTGCTGGGCCAGACTTTTTACTCTTCCAGATCAACATGATTTTAATTACACTTTAAATAATGTAGGAATTATTGATTTACTACTATCACTCTGAGTTACCATTTATCTTAAACATATTGGATCAAGTTTCTACACATTGCGCCTTAATTTTGTATCCAATGTTGAGGTTTTCTATTTTTAAGAGAATAGGAAAATATGTAAGAACATTTTTAAATATTTGTTAAATATTTGTTTTTTATGAAGTATAAATTTGTTATAAAATATTTTAATATATAAATTTAGATTTTATAGTCTGATGGCTGTAATTATTAAGAACTATTTAGAAAGTTCATATACTTTGACTCACTAATTCTTCTTCTAAGAATTCATTCTATAATAAAGGGGGGCACGCCCTGGCCAGTTTGGCTCAGTGGTTAGAGCATCGGCCTGCGGTCCAGAGAGACCCGGGTTCAGTTCCTGCTAAGGGCATGTACCTCGGTTGCGGTGTGTCCCCGGCCCTGGTTGGGTTGTGCAGGTGGCAACCGCTCAATGTGTCCCTTTTACATCGATGTTTCTCTTTCTCTCTCTCTTCCTCTCTCTCCCTCTCACTCTATCTGAATAAAAAAACAGAAAAAAATATATATATCCTCAGGTGAGGATAAAAGGGGGGTGCACAGGAAATTTTTGGAGGTGGTGTTATGTCTCTTGATTATGGTGATGGTTTCATGTGTATACACATATGTTCAAACTCACCAAATTGTGTACATCAGATGTGTGAGGCTTTTTGTATATCAATTATATTTCAAAAAGCTGCCTTTACCAAAAATAAAGTTATTCTAAAGAAAGGGTAAAGTGTGGGACTTCAGTGTAAGAATATTCAGTTCAGAATTACATATAATAGCAAAAACTAGAAGCAAGCTAAATATCCAGAAATAGTTGTAGCCACCCTGTAGAGGTTATATATCCATTAATATCATTTTAAAGGCTATGTAACAACTTAAGAAAATGTATATCACATGATGTTAAGAGGGAGAGGAGCAGGACATGACACTGTCTACATGCAGTATGTTTCCTGTAAGGTAAATTTATGAATGTATATAAATGAACTATATAAATGCAATTGATGCAGAAGAAAATAAATGATGATGATATTACAGGAAATTATTTCCTCTTCTAAATAAATGTGTTATTTTGTTATAAAAATACCAGCAATCTTTAAATAACTATCAGGAGATATTTTAAAAGGGAAATAAAGTTCTAAAATTTTAATGGCATAAAATATATTCCCTGCAGTGCCTTTTAGAAAACAAGATTATATTTTATTTTTCTTAATCTATGATTGCCTATTGGTATAGTTTTTTTTTAATTCAACAAGTGGAACCAATTTTGACTTAAATAACAAATCCCTTGTGAAAGCATTCCTTTAAATTAAGAAACACCGTTTTCAAGAGCCTCATGAAAACATTATGCCTTACTCAGTGGCTGAGTATACAGAAGGTGCTGCACAATGTACTTATTTTTGTGTGTCCTAATTTTCGGGGTTTTGTTTTCTTTCTAGATCTGGTTTGCCTTTGTTAATGGCTTTTCTGGACAGATCCTCTTTGAGAGATGGTGTATAGGTCTTTATAATGTGGTAAGTTTGGGACATTTGGTTTTTCCTGTTTCATTGACTACTTTGAGATAAATGTTCACCCTGCCTTTGGCGGCTTGGCATAATGACCAGTCTGTGCACTTCAGATGTTTACAGCGATGCCTCCCTTAACCCTCGGAATATTTGAGAGATCCTGCAGGAAAGAGAATATGTTGAAGTACCCTGAGTTATACAAAACGTCTCAGAGCGCCCTGGATTTCAACACCAAGGTAGGCTCTGAGCCCTGGCACACGCTCGGGGACTTGCTGTACTGCTCTAATTACCTGGGGCACCTGGTCTTCCAAAGCTGGGGAGACGTCTCCAGGGTGTCAACCGTGGCGAGTCAGACTTGCCAAAGGTTCTGATACGGACTGAGAAGGTTTATGTTTGTTTTGTTATAAGACTAAAATGTAAGCACGGTTTGCTGGGACTTGCCAGGCAGCAGGAAACTGGGTCCAGCAGACGGACAGGAGCGCCCCCTCGGCCCTCCGACTCCTGGTCCCCGCCGTGTTGCGGGAAGGGCTCAGCCTTCACAGGGTCGGTCCCCCACGACTGATGAGCACTGGCTGTATACGTGTGAAGCGTGAGGGGTGACAGAGCATTCTCTACGAATTTTCTGTTTTGTAAATTAACGTTGTCTTCATTAAAAGGTTAGATTGTTTGTATCGAGCGTTAAAAAGTATAGTCTCTGGAAAATAACTCAGTCATAATACTCAGTATTTCCAAGCCATAAAATTTAAAATATCCAGCATTTTATCTAAAATCATATTCTGAGCTTATATGCTGCATAACGTGGCATGGACTCTTGTCATCACCTGTGATCCACAGATTTATTCATCCCACCCACAAAAATAGCTCTTTTTCTGCATAGTTTACCTCCTTGCAAGTGTATGTTCTAAAGTGTTTCCAGTGGTATTTTCTAGTCATTCTAGTTTCAGTTTAGTGTGATTAAAAAAAAAATTTTTTTTTAATTTTCTAACAGTCAAGATAGATGCCATTTTATAACTATAATAAAAGTAACAGAATTTTTCCCGTTTAATATAGTACATGTTTATTAGCATGTTACTAACAATTAGAAGTAACCTAGATTCAGTGTTTTGAATTCAGGACAGTTAGTATAAGATATTTTAAATATGTACTAATTTCTTAAAGCTCTCGAGTGACATTTATTCTCAGTATACCGAGAGAATCAAATACAACAGGTGTTTCGGTGCCTCTAACTCACACCATAAATGTCGGTGTTGAGTTTATGGCCAGGATGTTGTTCATCTTCTGAGACTAAGCCTTCAGGAGTGCGCTGTGCACGCACGTCCAGATGTGCTCATCCAGGTGTGCACATACATGCAACTTGGCGGCATTATTTTAAATAACTGAATTTGGTTTTTGTTTTTTTTTAAACTGAAGGGTTCTTGGTCTTATACCATTGCTTCTGAAATGCATTTTTTAAAATATGTTTTTATTGATTTTTAGAGAGAAGGGGAGGGAGAAGGAGAGAGAGATAGAAACATCAATGAGAGAGACACATCAATCAGTTGCCTCCTGCATACCACCCACTGGGGATCCAGCCCACAACCTGGGCATGTACCCTGATCTCAGTCCATGGGACAGTGCTCAACCACTGAGCCACACCGGCTGGGCAGAAAAATACTTTCTAGTAGTCTCTTAAAACTATTACTACTTGTGATATGAAATGTCTATGCTTTTATTTTTAAATGTCTTGTTTTTGGATTTTTAAAAACATTTTTATGATAACCCTGTTTGTATTCATTTCCACCACCTTGCTATAATGTTTTCATTACTATGGTGGTAGCCACAGTGGTCTGTGAGCGTGTTTCCCTGCAAAGGGGATCTGAGAGCTAAGACTGTTCAGACACGCTGGCGTACTAACAACAGTTCTCAGCGACCCAGACTGTTGCATCAACCTCAGCCATAGGTCCCCAGACCGCCATGGCTCAGGCATCATGTCACTCTCTTGAGAATTAACTTCTCCGCCACAAACTTGGCCATGATACTCTCGTTTATAAACGTAGAGTCTCACAGGATTGCCCAAAGCCATTCCTGGAACGTCACAACCTCGCATGCCCTCTGCACGTCGCAGCTTGGACCCGGCTTTGTGGCCAGGGAAAAGGTGTAGCAGGTAGTATAGTTTTAATATGGATGCATCCTTCCTTGCAAACTTTACTATTTTTTGGTTGTTTACAAAGTATTTCATTATTTGCAGAGCCCTTGCATTTCAAAAAGTCATCAGATTGACCCAAATAGATTATATAGGGACAGGCCAAAGTAGGTTTACAGTTGTGAGTACGCAAAAGAGTTTATTCCTGTGTTATTTATTTTATTATTTGTCTTCTTCCATAAGAACAACTGTAAACCTACGTTTACCCACCCCTGTACTTCTATATCCATTTGAGTATTTATGCATACGTGAGTGACCCACCATTTTTTATAGGGTTTATAGATTTTTCTAATGATTTCAGGGAAAATTCTTTGATTAAATCCCATATAAGTGTTTTAAAATTCAGGGGCAAATGGCTACAAAATGCATAGTTGTGTACACAGCAGTTGCTGTGGGTCTCCAGTGTCGGAGCATTGTTGCCCTGAATGATGCTGATTGCGTTTGTTATGGTAAAAAGGGTCGGAGGTTCTGAGGTCAGGACAGGGGTTAAAGGATTAGCATGTGACAATAAGTAGCGGTCAGGAAAATGGAAAAGTAGAACTAATTTTTCTTGCACCCACCTGTGCTTTCTGTCAAATAAAAACTTGTGGTAATGACATAGTGAGGAGGAGAGACAAAGGTTAATGAGTAACACAAGTTCAAATGTGTAATGTATTGGAGCGTAAATTGGATCATACAATCCAGTGTGGCTGCGTGAACTAACAAAGGGGAATGAAACCACGGTGGAAAATTTTGGGAGGCAGGCAACTTAATTTCTGTTGTTTGAACAGCTTAAAACTATTAATACATGACAATTTTATTTAGCATAAGTTTTGTTTGCAAGAATCACTTTTAAATGACACACTGCAGTTGTTCAAAGGGCCATAAGAATTCTAAACAGTGTTTCTATAACTCAGTCTTTTATATCCATGTTACAAAGAACACACCAGTGATGTTTGCTCTCTTGTTCTTAAAATGCAATTGATGCGCAAAGTAATAACTAATTAAATGATATTATAATTGTATAAAGTTTGATGTTGACTGGCATTAAAAACTGTGAAAGCCTTTTAGAAATTCAGTTATGTTAACAGTGCTTTACTCTAAGGAATTATACAATTTAAATGTAATTACCTGCTAGTTTTAGTGTATAATATATGTGTATATGTACCTAAATACCTACATGTGGAAAGAGAGAGAATATGAATGCATTCTATTCCTACCATTGAAAAGTTTACACTTTTATTGCACATGGGAAAGAGAAAGTAAGGACTTCACCAAATCACAGTCTTTTCAAAAGTCTCCTCTTCCGGAATTATGAAAATAGTCCCTCTTAAAAGGATTTCAGGATCTGAATTATTTTTAATTATATTTTCTTTTGCAGGCAGAAGTTTAAACTTTTAATACTTGGTTAGAAGAGGTAGAAAAAAATTTCAGTGAAGCTGAAAAAACATTTTTAGAAACATAAAAATAAATAAATGACCCATGAAGGTCTAAGAGGCAGAAAGTGTCTGTCAGTTCTATTAATTCGCAGAGGTGGCCCAACAGGGCCACGTTTTGTGCATCTAGCTCACAGATAAAAAGAAAGGTCAGGGTTCACAGAGCTAGTTTATCGCGAACGGTTCTCATGGATTTTTGTTTTCCCTCAGGTTTTCTGGGTTCATTGTTTAAATGGCCTCTTCCACTCAGTTATTCTGTTTTGGTTTCCACTAAAAGCCCTTCAGTATGGTAAGTAGAAAGGATATGAATGCTAAGAGATGACTTTTTTTCTTTTTCAGAAAAACAATTCATTGTCAATCTGTGTTCAAAATTATAGCAGTGTTTCGTTATATGGTATCCCTTAACCTCGGGACATGCATCTAAAAGTTGTACACACTTTAAAGATTTTTATTCTTCCTTTGGGGGCACCGTGATTTAATATATGCAAAGCCTTTCTTCTCTACTTCTCATGTTTTCCCAACTTGCAGAGAATTAAATTTTAGGGCTCTCTTTGTCCTCTGTTGATGTATTGTCTGAAGACAATAGTGCTAATATTTTATGTAGTCTATTTATTATACCTGTGAGGCTCGTATCAAGCTCTTTATACTGAGCCTAATCAGACATGCCAGTATTTTGAAGTATACTTGAGCCGATGTCTTGAATGAGAATTTTCATCTGTTTTTATGTTCATCTTGGAGTGGAAGCTCTCTCTCGGTTCGTTTTGAGGAAATGATGTTAGTCTGTCAGTTTTGAAAGATAGGATCACGGTGAATTTCCTATGCACATAAAAATGATGAAGTAGCCGCTTTAGAAAAAGGTCGCTGCAGTGCCGAAGCGGGTGCTCTGTGTCCCGGAGCAGCCTTGCCTTGGGGTCCTGAGGAACACAGCCGACCGTTGGTGCCTCTGCTCCCAAACTGCAGTAGTTAGAACTCCACCCAAGGGTTTGTGAGTCCCTTGGAAAAACAGGCCATACCTCACTGACTGTGAACTGATGACTGCCAGCAGAAGACAGGGCTGTCCGTGTGTCCTCGCCCACCTACAGTCCGTTCTCGGGCAGCCAGAGCGGTCCTTGCAGTGCGTACATTAGACCAGGAGCCTCAGAAACCCACAGACTTCTGCCACCCTGGAAACAGAATCCACAGCCTCAGCTTGGCTGACTCCTCCATCTGATCCCCTCCCCCAGGTTCCCCTCCATGCGCCTCCTGCCCACCTCCATGCAGACATTCCTGCTGGCTCCCTCCCTCCCTCCCCAGGTTCGCCTCCGAGAGGCCCTCTCAGGTCACCTTCATCCCAAAGAGCCACCAATGTCCTGCCGCCTCTGTCACTCTGTCCCCTTGTCGTCTTATATTGGCTTCATGGTACTTGTCTATTGAGGTATGACATCTTTGTTTTGTTTTTTTTTAATCCTCCCCCGAGGATATTTTTCCTTTCATCTTCAGATAGAATGGGAGGGAGGGAGGGAGACAGAGAGAAACATCCATGTGAGACAGACACATCGATTGGCTGCCTCCCACACGACCCTGACCAGGGCCAGGGACTGAACTGCAACAGAGGGACGTGCCTTGACTGGAATCGAATTCGAGACTGTGGTCCACAGGCAGATGCTCTAATTGCTGAGCCAAACAGGCCAGGGCTCTTTGCTTATTTATTATCGTCTTTCTGCTCTGTTAGAATCAAAGCTCCAGAAGGCCGTTTGTTCGTTCGTTCGTTCAGTTCACTTTGCATGTCCAGTGCTCGAACAGAGCCTAGCTCGTAGCACGCAGCACACCGTGCACAAGGCGGCGGGCATGCAGCGTGAGTAGGGCGCGCGAGCCTTGAGAAGGCAGTGGTTTCGTGTCCTAGGTGGAGATTTTTATCTTCTGTCTTTATGAATTGCTTTGCCAGTACAGCAGGAAATGAGTGTGGTATGGTCTAACTAAAGTACAGAATATCAACCCTATTTGCTAGGAGAACCACAGTGGGGTTTTTTGGGTGGAGGGGAGATATAATTCACATACCGTAAAATTCACCTTCTTAAATTACACAAGTCAGTGGTTTTTAGCATATTCACAGAATGAAACAAATCTCATCAATATCGAATCCAGAACATTTTATCACTCCATAAAGGGAACCCATACCCATTAGCAGTCACTTCCCATTCTTTCCACCTTCCCACAGCCCCGGTAACCACTAATTTTTGTCTCTGTGGATTTGCCTCTTCTGGACCTTCCATGTAAGTGGAGGCATGTAATCTGTGACCTTGCTGTGTCCATGTGACAGCGTGACTCAGTATTCCCTCCTCCTTTTGTCTGAAAGCTGTCCCCTTGTGTGGCTGCACCGCCCTGGGTTATCCATTTGTCAGCTGATGGATATTTGAGTTACTTCCACTTTTTGGAGTGATGGGATATTGAAATTCAGGGCACAATGCAGGATTCCTTAACCTTAGACAAGTTCTCCAGTTAAGTTTGTTTTTTCAAATAAACTTCCTTATTCACTCACTTCAGCAGTTCTCAAAGTATGGTCCGTAGAGACCCAGGAGTACCAAAGACGTTCTGATGGTCCATTAGGCCCCCAAGGTCAAAAACTCATAGTTTCTAATTTTTCATCATATTATCAAGACATTTTTTTTTTTATATTACTGGGTTTGTTCCTGTTATTTTCAAATAAACCAGTACACATTTTAAAAGCACTGGTGGGTAAAACTGCTGGTACCTTGGCACAGCAAAGATACCACTGTACTAGTGGTCAGTGTATTCCTCATTGCGTGCACCCACATTTAAAAAGCAACCAAAAAAGCCAGTTTCCCTTTAAGAATACCCTTGAAGAAACTGTAAAACTAATACTTTTATTAAGTCTCTGCGCCCGACACACGTCTGTCTGACATTCTGTGGGACAGTGTGGGAAGCACCGCACTTCTGCTGGGAGCCTGTGTGCAGCAGCCATGTCGAGGCCAAGAGCCTGGGGATTGTTGCAGCTGTGAGCTGATCCAGCTCCTCTCTCGAGGTCACAGTCGTGCGTGGGCGCAAGATCCCTTCCGAGTGCAGAGTGGACCAGTGCATTTTGATGTGATAGACTGCCTCAGTTCCACACCGCAGCTAACCTTGAAGGCACTGTCTCTGCCTCTTTAAGAAACTACTTGAGCCCTGGCCGGTTTGGCTCAGCGGTTAGAGCGTCGGCCTGCGGTACAGAGAGACCCGGGTTCGGTTCCCGTTATGGGCACGTACCTCGGTTGCAGTGTGTCCCCGGCCCTGGTTGGTCGTGTGGGTGGCAGCCACTCGATGTGTCCCTTCACATCGATGTTTCTCTCTCTCTCTCTCTCTCTCTCTCCCTTCCTCTCTCTCCCTCCCACTCTATCTGTACAAAAAATGGAAAAATATCCTCGGGTGAGAATAAAAAAAAAAAAAAAAGAAACTACTTGAGTTTTGATCTACCAAAGAAGGTCCCGTTATTGGAAAAGTTTGTTTGAATAGTCCTCCCCTTTATATCTCCATGTCACTGTGAAGTTAGACTTCCCTCATGTCTTTCAACCAAAAAGAGAAAGAGAGAGAGAGAGAGAATCTGGCTGCATTCTATTAAACCAGATATTAAAGAGATTATTAAGCCCTGGCCAGGTAGCTCAGTTGGTTAGAGCGTTTTCCTGATACACCGAAGTTGTGGGTTCAATCCCCAGTCAGGTCACATACAAGAATTAACCAATGAATATATAAATAAGTGGAACAACAAATCAATGTTTCTCTTGCTCTCTCTCTTCCTTTCTCTCTCTCTAAGTCAATATATTTAAATTTTTAAAAAATATATAAAATAGTGTCTATTTTCTCTTTTTTTGTTTTGTTGTTATTGTTTCTAAAATAATTTTCATAAAAATCTGTTTATATTACCATCTATTGGGTTTGTTCTTATTATTTTTAAATAAACCAATACACATTTTAAAATTTTTCTGTCTTAATTTACAATTTGGTAAATATAGCTAGAAATCACATAAACAAAGCTTTTGGGGATGCTCAATAATTTTTAAGATTGTTAAGGGCCCAGAGACCAGAATAATCCAAGAATGAACAATTCATCTGAATCATCTAAATGCTAAACCTGATGAGCCCAACAATAAACTTTTGTTTTTCCTCAATGTGATCTTGACATGAATCTCTGTCTTCTTTATGATGAACCAACCATGATTAGAAGGCTTAGTTGGACCCAACTGTGATTATTTTTGATAACTTGCCTACCTTGGCCAAGGGCGGTAACCAGTACGGCACATAGCAGAATCATGGACATTGGGAAATACTTGATATATTTTCAGTTATTTTATAGATTTCTGAGTCTGTTAAAACTTTGTTGTATGGAAATTTGCAGATAATTGCAAACATTTAGAAGTTTGTCTACAATATACCCACAAGTTGTAACACCTCAGATCCTACGTCTGTAATCATGGCATAGCTCGTAAAGAAAGGTTGTCTCCTAATGGCTGGGCAGACTAGTCCACAGTCCTTCCTGGCTACTTTTACCTGAACACTTTGGAGAGGGATGGGTCACATTTTGGAACATCTGCCATGTACTAGGCACCCTGCTTGGTGCTTTACACATGTCACCTCCTTTAACTGAAAATCCCTTACAGGGTAGGGAGTTTCACTCCATCTTTTAAGTGAAGAAACTGAGTTCCATAGAGATTGAATATAAATTCCCCAAAATGACTCAGTAGAAAGACACAAACCGTGTCTGTGTCTCCAAAGCTCAGCCGACTCTTTTCTTTTCATACCAGCACCCCTCTCCCTGACTCATCCCATACGTTACTCTAACATTTCGTTCTTACATGTCAGGCTTTGAATAAATACTGTTGAATGTGTACATAAATAAAATTTCATGTTACACATGCCATGGGTTTTAAATGTTCCAATCATAACATTGAATTATTCAGTTATTTTTTAAAATGTTCATTTGCTGTTTTTTAAAATCAATAATAGTGCTTTTAACATGTTAGCTGTCATTCCCTTCATCTAAAGCCATGTTTGTTAGTTATTACTGGAATAACAAAATACCTTAAGCTGTACCCTAAATTCAGCCAGATCCTCAAAGAACTGTATGCCTGGAATCATTTTGGTGTTCTTCAGCTGTCTGTGAGTTGTTCTTATGAATCTCTTTGGGCTAATGCCAACAACTTCACTCAGAGATAGTAAGACGGCTCCCTGAACCCTCATCTATGTTGTTTTCAAAGTCCTCTATTAAGGGTTCGATCTTTTCCCTCCTGTCTCAGTGCTCATAGCATTAAGTTTTGCTTGAACAATGAGTTTGATTATATTTTTAATCTCATGGACCCTGAGAATTGGTTAACTGGTCAGGTTTCCTTCTTCATATTGGCTATTGGAAATTCCTTTTTCACTTGTGACCCATATTTATAGCAACTGTGTTGAGACTCCTTATAGGATGTTCTTAGCCTCATTTCTAGCTCCATTGTGTGGCCCTAGGTTCCCCTCCTTTTGCTATCCACTTCTGAGTTGATTTATCTTTGAAAAGACTCTGAAGAAACCTCGTTTATTTTATTCTCTAACAAGCCTCCCTTCTTTTCCTGTAGGTACTGTGTTTGGAAATGGGAAAACCTCCGATTACCTGCTGTTGGGGAACTTTGTTTACACGGTGAGTACAGGACATTTCAGTGTCTGGTTTGCATATAAAAGGGATCCTTTCATAGGTGCTCATTTTATTTTCAAATTTAAATGTGTGCCTGTCTGGATGTAAGGGTTGGTTGCACGTCCCTTTAAGAGTGAAATGAGGTGTTTTGATTAGTAAGAGATGGTTCTATATTAGGTTATTAAAATGTCAGTTAGGTTCACTGGCTTTATAGGATGTTAGTTGCTATTATTTTCAATATTTCCTCTTTACCCCACCCCCACCCCCATTAACCCTTGTCTTCTTTCTTATCCTTTTTCCCTTCAGTTTTATTTTACTGTCCTTGTTAATACTTTTTTAGCTTTTACTATTCTTCGGTGTTTAACCAGCGATTATTCTAGAGTCTCATGATAACTATAATGGGAGAGAAATCTCCACTCTGTGGGGACATTTCACCAACATCACACTTCGGTCCCTGCCAACTACTGAGCATGCCCAGAGTTCCCTTGACTACTGACAATGTTTGAAATTTTACTAATTATAAATAGATAATAATAGATAAAATACAGGGCTAAGTAAGCACTGTTCTTGGTGTTTTATACTCAAACACCATTAAGGTATGAGTTTTATCAGTTCCAGTTTACAGATGAAGGAGCTGAGACACAGAGATGTCAAGTAACTTGCCTTGTTCCTTCACCGAAATGGCTGACAAGGGATGGAGCCTTGAGCACAAATGGCACAAATGGTCTGACTCCAGGCCAAGTCCATTTAACCATGATGTTACCCTATGGAAAACACAGGGCACTTCATTAAACCTGGTTCCCTTTAGAATTAGTAGCCTAGACACCAACGATGATGGGTGGGTGTTTGCATCATATAACAAATTCTTACATCCTGCTCTGCAGAGTTTACAACAAGTAAGGTTACAAAGTAAGTGTTTAGATTTCTAAATATCCAGTTATATTACTTTTAGAATTATCTTGAAAATGTAGGGGCCCTACATAGTAAAGGTGATGTAAAATAAAATTAAAGCAAGCTTTAAAACCAAAGTAACTGCAGATGTAGCCTCCATCACTGCTCAAGAATTGTGCAAGAAGCAGGCAGACTCATGCTCTGGCCTATGGTTGGACTGTAAGACTGGGAGGCAGTCACGGCGGGGGCGGGGGGGGGGGGGGGGCAGGAGTGTGCCACTCCTGACGGACACGGTCACAGGTGTAATGCATGGCCACCCAGCTAATTCACTTGATTCTTTTCATGTTAGATGTACAAGGCCAGTGGTGAATAATCTAGTTCAGTCATCTAATTCACAGATACCTGTTCTTTATACTCTCGCTTTCAATCATTTTATTGAACTATCATACTCATTTTAAAGAAAACGTTTTCCCCTTCTCTGTTTTAGTTTGTGGTGATAACTGTGTGTTTAAAAGCTGGATTGGAGACATCATATTGGACATGGGTAAGAGTCTCTCTAATCACAACCAAGAAATGTCACATATACTTATGTGTTATTGCCACTTTTTTTGTAATTTGTCGTTCTAACTTTACATATCCCTTAACCCTAGTTTCTTCTACAGGTTGTTAATTGGGGGGATCCGGGATGGAGGGGGGAGAACCAGGGATTCTTGTTTGGGAACATGGAGCAAAACAACTTTATTCACCCAAGACTTCTCAGAGCTTTCAGTGTGTTACTGTATGTGGTGACTACCCCGGGAAGAGGCGAGGCTCTTGAACTTACTGACAAGTAGTCTTTTCCTAGTGGAATTTGCCACGAGACTGGCATTCGGCAGAAACCCACTGCAGAGTGAGTCTGAAGACAAATACTATTAGCAAAAGATTTGTCCTGAAACATCTTTACATATCCAGAAGAGATAAAACAAGTTCCATTTTAGATACCTTAGTTTGGAAGTATATTTATATCCAGGTAGACAGGTAGACAGACCTAGTTAACAAAACAGAAGAAAAAAAATTTATATTTGATGCTTGGGAAATATCGGCACAAGACATTTGGATTTGACTGTCATGGGCTTACAAAATAGTGTTCACACAAGTGTCTGACACATTTCAGTGAGAGCATGCAGGGAAAAAATCGAGGAGGTTTAAAGATGGCACAGGATTAAGATAAGAGTGCCCTGGCAGGTGTGGCTCAGTTGGCCGAGTGTCATCCTGTGCACTAAAAGGTTGCCAGTTCAAATCCTGTTCAGGGCACGTGCCTGGATTGCAGGCTCCATCCCCCGTACAGGGTGAGAATGTGCAGGAGGCAGCAGATCCATGTTTCACTATCTCTCTCTCCCTATCTTTTTCTTTAAAAAATAAAAAATAATAATTAAAGTAGCCGGGCCAGTGCGGCTCAGTGGTTGAGCATCGACCCATTCCCAAGAGGTCGCCATTTGGATTCCCAGTCAGGGCACATGCCCAGGTTGTGGGCCAGATCCCCGGTGGGGGGCGTGCAGGAGGCGGCCAATCAGTGTTCTCTCTCATCGATGTTTGTATCTCTCTCTCCCCCTCCCCTCTCTCTCTAAATACCAATAAAAAAAAAATTAAAAAACAAACTCAGGGACCTAAAATAACCACAAAGGATGATCTGAAATTAAAACTTTAAAGAAAATAAAAAAATTAGAGTAAGAGGAGAGACCCACCAAAGGAGGTAGAGAGAGAGTGTTCCAAATGCCAGGACCACAGACATCGTGACTGGTGTTGAAAGAGATTAGCACTTAGTGAAAGATCCAGTTAAAACACATGCCCAATTATTTAGAAATGCCCGTAGATAATATTTTATGGGCATAGTAAAAAATTAATAAGGGGATTTGTGAAAGCTTTCTTAGTGTGTGTGTACTCCGTCTACCTCAACGTCTCTGACTCCAGCTCAACTTCCTTCGCAGTTCAGCCACATAGCGATTTGGGGCAGCATCGCTCTCTGGGTGGTGTTCTTCGGCATCTACTCGTCTCTGTGGCCCGCGGTTCCGATGGCCCCTGACATGTCGGGAGAGGTAATGTGTCCTCGTAACTCACAATTCCACAAACTCTACAAATCAGGATTCATTAGTGAACTGAGTTGTTTGGCTTGGATTTATATTAGAATAGAACATTGGACCATTTAAAAGCTATTTTTAAATTCCACAGTTGTAATAAATCTTGAGGGAATATTTTAAACTTGGACATTCTACTTAAATCTGACTTATCCTTTCATAAACATAGCGGGGACAATAAAATATGGTTGTCAGGAGCGTGCATCATGTTCAGGATATCCATATAGAAAATGCCATTTTAAAATTAGAACATAAATCCACAAAAATACATTTTGGAGGAGAGATTTGGGGAAATGGTAGGCTTATGTCTTTGGGACAGTCTATCATTTCTCCTGTTATCTCTTATTCTAAAGAGAAGTCCACTGTCACTAGATTAAATGCACTTTTAGAGTTGTCTTAGTGACCTCAGTTTGGTTTTCATTTTGAAGGAGCTCGGGGACCTGACATTTCAGCCTTATCATAGTCCATTTTCAGTGCTGTCTTTCAGTTTCTCGTTACATGAGTAGGAACTGAGTTATTGGGTGTTCACGGGGGAATGTCACAGACCTCCTTCCCTTCAGAAGAGACTCCGGCAGTAGGAGGGTTTATGATTTCAATTGCAGGAAATTTGACATAAAATGTATAAAAGAAAATGTGGAAAACATTTCAGGATTTCCTGTGACCTCACAGTAACTTGCAAATCAGGGTAATGTGAGCTCCGTCCCAGTACATTGTTTTCCCATGGTCACAGGAAACCTTTCCAGTGGTTTCCATGTATGTGTTGCCCCGAAGTACGGCCTGAGTACCTTTCACTTTTGACAGTCTGGTTTATAGATCATTTTCATGAAATCTTATTTGACAGCATCCTGTTTTTTTTATCAATTAGCAGAATGCAGACACATTTTAAAAAAAATTTTTTTTAGTAGTTAAATTTATTAGAGAGGCAAAACCAGACATATCAAAGAGCATGTACTTCCACCAAAAGTGAAGGCTTCTTTTGAAACATGTACTGTGGATCTAGAAAATCTACAGCATGTATTTTGAGAGCAGGGGAAAAAGCTGTGAATGCATCTCCGTCTTACCTTGATCTGAGTCCACTTCTCCTGAAGAAATAAAATCGAAGACTATATACATGTATCTGATGGTGCCACTCGAAAGCCCATCTCTGTTCTTTGTTTTATTTCATGTGCTCTGACTCATTGGACCTACTTTTTCCCCAAGGTCAATTCCAACTTAATATATTTTTTATTAGATCTCATTTCGTCTCATTTCTCAATGCTTTATCTGCAAAGTGAATGACACAAAAGATTTTGAGATCCAGATAGTTGGAGCAACTGTAGCCAACAGCTTCGATGACAAGAATGGGGTTTTTGACCACCTACTTCTATGACAAGTGTGAAGTTTGATTGGCTTTTTGCCAACCAAACATAATCCCACCCTTGCATGTAGAATTCCCAGTATTAACCAAACACAAAACCCGGTATCATCCCTTGAGAGTGGCGGTGATGCTGCGTTTAATTCAGAGTGAAATGAATGTCGGTATTCCATCGCATTCCTGTCCACCTCGCGTACGCGGGAAGTACTGACAAGGGTTCTTGTTCTTGTTTATTACTACTGATACTTGGATATAATGTTTGAATAGCTTGTGCTCCAATGAAACTATGGAAATGGATTAATTCAGCATTAGGCTTAACTAGTTTGTCTAAAATGTAAGTCTGTTTAATTTATTCAAAGAATAACACTTGAAATTGATGTAGTACTTTAGTGCTTGAAAAGCGTTTGGACGTGTACGTGTGTGTGCATGAGTGTCACAGCAAGAATACCACTGAGATTCCCAAGGACAGGTATTCTCCACTTACTGGTTCCTGGGCACTAGGGTAATAGATCTCAAAAAATGTTTATAGCAGTACTCAGTTTTTAACATTTTTATGATATGTAGAGAATCACTTGTTCTATTACAATCCAATTAATTCCATAAAGATGTATCTACCCTTTGGTTTATATTTTTCTAATCTTAAAAATATTTTAACCAAAAGTATTATCACATACATACATACATGCATATATATGAAAAATGTATTATGTGCCAATATTTATATCTGTGTTGTGTGTGTGTATACGCCATCTTGAACAAAATTTACTGATTTATCTTTCATAGCAAAATACTATTATGATATTACATATATAATTATGTATTGTGTATATATATTATATATAATACATTACTATTATAGTATTACATATACTATATTACATATGCAATGATATAATTATACATAATATATAGTAATATGCATATTATTGTCAGTAATACCAGGATAAGTGTAAATATCAGCACTTCTTGACTTGCCAGGTTCCCCGTAGAGCCTTGTGGCTTTTACTCCGGGTCAGGTGAGAGCCAGGGGAGGGTTGGAGAGGGGTGTCAGAATATGCTAAGAACCACTTGGGAGATCGTTGCAATAGCGCAGTGAGAGATGATGGTGGCCTGGGGCAGGGGGTGGCAGTGGTGGAAGTGGTCAGATTGGGAACCTGTTTTGAAGGCAGGAGAGCTGAGGATTTGTCGCCAGACTAGCTCTGAGGAGTGAGAGGAGTCGAGCCAGACTCCATCACGTTGGCCACAAACACGATTAGGATTTGCTTGTGCTCAACTCACTGGATTCCGACAGCCAACCTGTTATGATAACCATGACCATTTACAGATGAGCGAACATAAAGAGGGAAGTTAGGTACCTCACTGACTTCCCGCTAATGCGGAGTGACAGATGAGATTGTGACTTAGCCGTCTGGTCTCAGAGCTCGCTCCTTAATCACTGTGCCTTGCTGCTGTCTGATCGTCGTCATTCAGGGGATCCATGGCCTGGGATCTGCAAATCAGAAGTCTGAGGGCCGACCACTCCCTGCAGGTATTTCAGGGATTTGTGTTGTCCTGACATCACCGCCTCCACATGGCTTCCCTCTCTAGACCTGGGGTGGGCTTGCTCTTCCTCAGCCTGCCCTCCGATCCGAGCCAGTGGCTCCAGAATGCCGACCCTTCTCCAGTGTCCACTGCCCCTTCGTTTCTTCGCTCATTCCCTTCGACCTGACAGTGCCGGGCTCCTACTGCCCCATAAATAAGTGTTAAGTAAATGATCATTAAACAGATGTTTTGCTTGCTTGTTTGTTTTGAGCAAATGAGAAACAGTGGGGTAGAGGTGACAGAGAGCCAGATCTCGGCTCCCAGAGAACATTTTTCTAGCATACAGCAATCCACATGTAGCAATTCCCAGCAGCCGAACAGGACGCTGGCCTCGTTTAGCCAACCCTTTCTGTGCAGGCTGGAAGAGCCTCGTGTCTACACCAGCGACTTCCAACCCTTTTCATCTCACGGCACACAGAAACTATTACTAAAATTCCGTGGTGCACACAAAAATACATTTTTTGCTGATCTGACAAAACAATAGCGGTAGCTTTGATTGATTGTGATGAAAATTACACATATCACCCAAGGACATAGTGTACAATAGTAAAGTGTATCGGGTACTTATATTTACTTGTATATAAGGATTCCTGGTACCAAGAATTAACCAATCAGACACAACCTTGTTTTGCAATGTGACCAATAAGGTACAACTCTATTTTATGACCTATATATTTATGGGTCAAGACAGGGCATTCACACTGAACGCCTGTTGCTCTGTTGGCTGTTGTCATTTTTTTTTTATTTGACAATCTAAGGGAAAAGAGGTCAGTGCCTCTGACTAAATAGTCAGGTATTGCATGTTTTAAAAATTCTTGTGGCACCCCAGGTGAAAATCGCTGGTCTACACCCCCGAGGTTGCCTGCTAGCTCCTGAGATTCATATTCTCTGTGTGCTTTCTTTACTGTGTTCTCCCCAGAGGTACATCTTGAATATTGAAAGGGCACAGACTATCTTGCTCTAGTTAACAGGATCCCAGGGTGTGGATTATACACAAATGAGGCATCTTGCGGGTACAGGTCTCATGTTTCTATATTCATCTGGATGCATAGTCACACAGAGATCTGGGTTTTAGTCATTTCCAGTTTGCATCCTTGGTTCGTTGTTGTGGCCCCCATCTGAAGACAGAGCCGTTTCTCTCAACGTGTAGAAAATTCCTAGCTTGCAGAGAGGGAGGGAAGAGAAAGAACAAGGTTGCCTGTGCACACACCATGCTTCCCAGGCACTGTGTTTGACCCCAGGCGTACCTTGTTTATTTCCATCCCTGTGGTGGTGAGCAGAGCAAATGACCTGCAGAATTCGTCCCAGGTTGTGTTTTTTTCTTTTTCAAATCCCGTGGGTTTTCTCTCACATCCTGAGGAACTAATTACTTGGAGGAGGGAGACATTGCTGTTCCTTACTCCCAGGTTCCTTCCTTTCTTTCTTCTTGGGGCCATCTTCCTTGAATTGATTTCCCTGATTTATCTGCTATTTTCTAAGTTAACCAGATATCAAATGTTCCTATCTCTTTTTAAAAGTTCCCAAATTTTTCATTCTCCCTTTTCGACACACACCTAACTCTTTCAGCACATTAGTAGAAATTCTATCGCACCACATACCCCAGCTTCTTGGCTCGTCTTCACAGTAATACTGGTATAAATAATGCCCATCTCATTAAAAAGATAGACTTGAAATTGAAAACCCAAGTGTCTGCATCATCAGAGAATGTACAGTTATCACTCAGGTAACAACAGGGCCTCGTTCCTGAGGGTCAGCCACTGTTATAGCACTTTTTGTGTCATCACTTATTTAACACGGTGAACATTTAATAGCAACACTATGGAGTTTATCCTGTTGTCTGCTTCACAGACACAGAGCAGTTTACTCATTTTCTCAAGGTCGCACAGCATGTAAGTATCTGAGCTGTGATTGGAACCCAGCCAGAATCTGCCCCCTTAACCACCATCCACACTGTTGGCTGTTTCTTTTTTTAATCCTCACCTGAGGACATTTTTCCATTTTTTGTACAGATAGAGTGGGAGGGAGA